CTCTCTTTTGACCTTCCTGGGAAACATCTACCCTACCCAAGTACTTTTCAGATACAGCTATGTTTCAACCTCTTCGAGGTCTTGATTTATCCTGAGTTCTTGGCTGTGACATGAATGGTTGAGGTCGCAGGAATCGTGACCTCTTGGTCATTGTTTTTTTGTTTTTATTATTGTTATTGTAGGAAAAAGGAAGTGACATTTACAAATGCCAGATGCTTTATATAGTTTGTTTCACTCTGTTCTCACAGCAACTTATAATAGAAAGAGGCATTGTCATACCCATATTGCCAGTGGGGAAACTGAGGCTGGGGGTAGCAACCAATAAGTGGCAGCACTTGGATTTGAGCCTGGGGCTATCTGACTTCAGAGCCCAGGTTCTCAGCTACACACAGCTGCCTTTTCCACTACTAAGTGTCCTTAACAGTCAACAAACACCCCACCCTAAGGGTGGAGGATACAGCTAGAGGCACAGCCTTTGGGAAGATCAGGCAGGAGTTGGCCCAGTGAGACATGGTTTCTTGGGGCCGGTGTCCTAGTGGTCAGGTGAACAAGGGGTGACTGGCTAGGTCCTCTTGGGTTCATTACTGCTTGCATGAGGTGATGTTTTTGAAGATCAGAGTCTGAGAAGCAACTTGCTCCCATCCCAGCAGGTCCCTCAGCAATCCTTCTTCCCAGGCCTTGGGTTTTATAAGTGAAGACTCAGGCTGAAAGGTAGAAGTCACTGGGCTAGTCAGAGGCTGAGGGGCTAGTAACATGCCCATGGACATGTATTTTAGGTGAATAGTTGTAACTGCACACTTTGACCATTTCTCTAGGCCAATTGGATCTGTTTTCCTTTTTATTCAGAAACTTATGCCATGTTTACATGGGAAGACTTTTAGATAAAGGGATAAGCTGGCTGAAGCCATGCGTGGTGAACCATGTGTGGAGCTTCGGGGCTTGGGCCTGACTGTTGCTAGCTGGCCAGGCTGACTCTTCTGTACTTCAGACCACAGTGGAACACTGTGTGATGTTGGTGCTGTGGACCCAGTCCTGACCCTGCTTACTGTGTGACCATGAAACCACAAGGTTTCCTCTCCTCTTGGGCTTCCATTTCTGTATCAGTAAAACAGCTGCGGTTCTTACCCTCCTGGCCTCACAAGGCTCTTGAGAGAAGGATGTATTTGGAAGGGTCTGAGACTGCAGGCCCAAGGCTCTTAAATTGTCAGCCTCCTCCATAGTAGAAGTTCTGAGATGTGTGAAAAAGGGCAGGTGGAGAAGGGCAACAGAGGCCCAGGCTTTAAATCTGGGCCAATGCCCGTCACTAGCTCGGACCAGTGATCTTCTCCCTCTGGGCCTTTATCTTCCCATCTGCAAAATGCTGAGCCCTGAAGCCTCTCCCAGCCTTGATGCCCCCTGGTTCTGTTTATTGGCACAGTGCACTGGCTTTGGCCTCCTTGATGGTAGGCAGAGTTGAAAGGATCTGTCCTTGCTGGCCTCCTGGGCAGAGCTCTCTGTTGCCCTCCTGTCACTGAGTGATCCAGATGCCCACAGACCCGGCCAGCACCTGGACTGTTAGTCCAGGGGTGTTGCCCTTTGTTCCCAGATGTTATGGAGGTTGTCAGTGGGACATCTAGGGTCATGCACCTCTTATAAGTTTCCATGCCCAGGCCAAGGTCATTTAGGCTTCCCTCCTGCTGTGCCTCTTAGACTTATAATCCAAGCAAGTTCTATTCCCAGGGTACTCCAGTGAGGATGGCTTCCAAGACTCAGGTGCAGGCAGCCCCCACCTCCTGGGATGCCTGGTCCCTCAGGGTATACAGGGGTATCCTAGGCCTGGGGGTGTGCACCCCCAGAGAGAGCTGCAGAAAGGACAAACTGCCCACTAGACTTGGTAGAGTCCCTCAAAGGGCCACAAGGGCTGGTGGAAGAGGAAAGAATGGGCAAGCCCATCACTGCCTTCAGAGCAGCTCTGCCCTTGGTTATATAAAATGAACTTCTGCACACAAGAATTCATTTAAAGCAATGATGTTGGATCCACTTGTTCTAGTGTCCCAGGCCTGCCATAACAAAGCCTCACAGACTTAAATGCAGAGCCTTACTTCTCACAGTTCTGGAGGCTTGGAAGTCTAAGATCAAAGTGCCTCCTTCTGAGGCCTCTGATTTGGGTGTACAGGTGACCACTGTGTTGCTGTCCTCACATGGTCTGTCCTCTGGGCATGAGCATCCCTGGTGTCCCTTTGAGGTCCTTTGGTGGTCTTATAAAGACACCTGTCAGATTGGATTAGGGCCCAGCCTCACTTTAATTAATTGCCTCTTTAAAGGCTCTTTCTTCAAATGCACATAATGAATGAGGTCTGGAACTTAAGACTTCAGCATATGAATTTTTGGAGGACCCAGTTCAGTCCAGTACACCTTTCATCTTGTCCAAGACCCTTTTGTTCCTGAATAGGCAAGTGATTTGCAGGTCCACAGCAGGCCAGGGCTGGAACTTGGGTCTGGTGCTGTGTGAGAGCTGACTTTTGTCTGGGCAGAGCAAAGGCCGTGTTTCTCTGCCCAAGGACTCCTCACTCTTGGCCCCAAGGGACCTCCCCTGGGTTAGGCCCAAAGTTGTAAATCTCTTAAGCCATAAGCTGCTCCTTGGCGTCTCCCGAGTGCCCTAATGTGAAATACAGATGTTCCTCCTTTTTAAGATCTAAGCATACTGTTAAGTTTCCCATCGTGTTTGCACCTAAGGATGCAATTACCATTTCCCCCCATTGTCCTTTCAGCCTGTCCCTCTGCTCCCAGCTGACGCAGGCTCTCGAGCCTGCTGGGTGAACACGGCGGCTGTGAGCTTATGAAGATCGGACGGCTTCTGAAAGCTTCAAGTGGCCCGTGGCCAGCGATGGTTATCAGTCCCTTCAGGGCTCCTTTGAGGTTATTTTCTTCTCATCAGAAGATGCTTGTATATGCCATGGTGAATGTTTCCATCAGTTCTTCTGTCTCAGCTAGCACCAGCTAAATGCTGTGCTGGACCATGAGTCACCCTTCTGGCTTCTACCCAGACCTCCTGGGCTGTCTCTGGTTACTGAACCCTGCAGAACTTCTCAGAGATCCCAAGCCTTCAAATGGTACCTGCAGCCCATCTCATGAAGACTGTAAACGTTCCTCATTTGACCCTAGTTATCATCAATATGAGAAAATGTTTTCCTTGCAAGTGTTACAGAGCTTGAGTTTCTCGCTTTGTTTGGAGGGTACAGGACCAGGGTGTGTGTTTTAGGTTTGTGAGCATATGGCAGGCCTTGGATTTAAAGCATGAATTGAGACCAGCTTCCTCTTCTCTTCCACCAAAAAGAAAAATAAGCATTCAGTTCTGAGCCCTTGGTATCCCTGGGCACCATGCCACATGGGTGGTGTGCTCCCCAGGGCATGTGCTCCCCAGGCCACATTCTGCTGTGCAGGAGACAAGCTCTCTGGTCTCACTTGCCTCTCTTTCCTCCACACCCCCTTCCCTCCACTGACACCCACCTCTCTGAGTTTCTCTCCACCTCTGTAAAATAGAGATAGTAACTCCCAGCTCACTGGGAACCTGGAGACTGAAATTGCCATCGTCATGCACGGTCAGTGGTTAGGAGCTCTTTAGTATTTGCTGGTTAGATGGCTCTGTTACTTTGGGATGTCTGAGAGGAGTAGTGTCCTAAAGATAGACTTTGTAGCATAGTGACAAGTGACAAGTTGGCACGGAGGGTAAGAGACTCAGGGAAGGCTTCTTGCTTCCTTATGCTTAGCTCTCACTTCACCCTTCTCACGTAATAAGCTCCCATTGACCAGGACATCCTGAATCATTCTGTCCCTAGCCCTGCTCAGCCCTAAAACCCATTTCTTTTGGTTTGAGGAATGTCTATAGGGGCTTTTCACTTTGTGCTACTTGAAGCCTCCCTTTTAAGGATGGAGCTACAGTAGTAAAATGGTTGGGGTGGGGGGAAAACCAGGCCTTGGAAACTGGCTGTCAGGGTCTCCCATGAGCCAAGCACCCTTGGCAAGCAAGTCCTTCTTTGAGCTGGGGTTTCTCCCAGGGTTTTAGAGAATAATGGTTGCTTGATGTCTGGGCAGGAGCTGTGCTCCAGAGGCAGAGGCTATTGTTTTAGACCTCAAAGAAGCTGTATCAATCTGTTTTCTGTTGCCAGTAACACCACTGGCAACATTGCAAACTGAGTAAGTTTTAATAGAAAGAAGTTTATTTTGGTTCACAGTTCTGAATATCCAAGGTTGAGAGCTCGTATCTGGTGATGGTCTTCTTGCTGGCAGAGTTCTACGGAGATATAGGGCATCACACATCAAGAGTCAGGGAACCACATGTGTGTCTCTTCCTCCTCCTTTTCTCTCTCTCTCTCGTTTTCTCCCTCCCTCCTTCCCTCGCTCCCTCTCCTTATTAAGCCTACAGAATTCAGTCTTGGAGCTCCACCACAACAACCTTACTCCATCTCTGAACACTATGGGTCTGGTCAGATTAAGTCTTTTACCATCTCCTATTCCCTCACAATGAAATTCAGTTTTGACACTTGTTGGACCCCTGGGAAACACACTTGGGTCCCATCTAAACTAGCAGCGGCATTATAGTCCATTTCCCCCATTTCTAAGACTGGCAGACTGAGACCAAAGAAGTGGCAGAGTGCCCCACCCCCACTGTTAGTGGCTGTGGTTGGGATGTGGATTCGGGATGTTTTATTTCCAGCCCAATTGTCTTCTTCTTCATGCTCACTCACGGTCCCCTGGAGTGGTCAGAAGCCTGGGATGGCCAAAATGGAGGTCATTGCCCCGGGAATACTGTAATTTCAGCTCAAACAGGTGTGGGTTTGATCCCTGATCTCTGGGCTGGAAGCCTCCTCCACAGTGGGCTTAGAACACAGAATGCTTAGGTTCCCACCGAATCTGGAGTCCTCTGCTGAGGGGAAGACCTGGTCACCCAGAGAGGTTTTCCCCAGGTGGCCTGGGTCAGGCAGAGATATGCTAATACTGCTTCTTCTTGTGTTTTCTAGTGTCAGTCAGGACTTTGATGTCCCCACCAGCCACTTGATTGGAGCACATGGATACTGCACACAGGTCAGAGGATGCTATGGAGTCCATATAGGGAAAGCTGGGTGATTCTTTCACTTCCTCTGTCCCTTCCTTTGTTCTGTGCCCCTGCCAACACCCACTGGCAGCTTCCATGGGCCTACCATGTGACCACCTCTGCTGGGCTTCACTGCCTCAGAGATCTAGAAAGATAACTGAAGTGCTTGTGGTACACTTTCTAGTGTGCTTGGAGCCACAGGGGATACAGAAGAGGAAGAATGCAGAACCAAGTGCTGTACTATGTGGGGCCCTCACTGCAGGGACAGGTTCCCAGGATGACTGGGGACTGTGTCCAGCTGGGGAGATAGCAGTTATGGACCCTTTATATTTGGACAAGGTGTTGTCTTTATAGCCACCCTCCCTCTGCATCTTTATAAAGGGAGCCAAGGGCCTTGTTGGGGCTAGAAGAAACCTTGAGCATGGTGGCTTGTCACCTATCCTCCCTGTCACTCAGGTGATGTCAAGATGCATTGTAGTGAGCATCAAGCCCAGGAGCTAAATCCCACCCTGTGTTCTTTCACTGCTTAGTAAGGCCTCCCATAGTCCCATGTGGGCCACAGACTGACTCTTCTGGCTGCCTGTCTGTTCCACAGGAGTTTCACTTTGTGGAGGGTGGAAAGGGATGCCCAGGGTAGGTGGCAGTCAGGCAGTGGGGCAGAAGATGCCAGACCAGGCTGGTATCAGGTTGAGTTCAGATACTGTTCTCTGCTGTACTCACAGAATAAGCCGAGGCATCTTTTCTCCTCCCTGAACTTCAGGTTCCTCATTTGTAGACAAGACATTTGGAGCAGACCATGGCTGCTTGAGTTTCCGTGTGAACACAAATCCCCAGGGAACATTTTGAAGAGCAGGCTCAGATTCAGGGAGTCTGGACTGGGGCCTAAGAGACATCCCCCAACCTCCCATCGCCAGGAGGGAGATGCCACTGGTCCACATACCACACTTTGGTAGCAAGGAACTAGATGATGGCTAAGCTTTGCCACTGTGTGATTTTTTGTGTTTAGGGGCAGGACATGCCTGGTGCCCCTTCTCCCACCTCCAGAAGACTTCCTTCTGGGAGGAAGGTTCAGGACACATCCCAGATGGAGAAGCAGGACCTTTTTTCTGTTGAAAACCAGATGGAAAGACTTCCTGGCTGAAAAAGACTGTATCTTTCTTAGTAGCCACTGCCCCTGAGGCTCAGTAGCTTAGATATTTCCTCCAACTTCTTTATATCATTTCCTCTTCAAGAACACAATGAGGCCCCTTCAGTATCTCCTTCCAACGGGGGGGGGGTCCCTCGGTGGCCATCAAAAGAGGTCTCTTTTACTGTCACTGGGGCAGGGGTGTTGGTGTTAACAGAAGAATTTATTAATCCTGGACGTTGTTTTCACAGTTTAAGGAAAAACACTTCCATGAACCTTTCCCTGCAGGGTGTGGGCTGACTATGGCCATTCCCGTGGGCTGGGGAGAGCTGCGTGCCTGCTTGCTTCATGGCAGTGCCAGGGTGGGTGACGCAGAGGGACCTGTCTGCCTCAATGCTATGGCTAGGCTCACTGGAATTCTTCCCTGGGGACAGTGGGTCCTTGTAGGACACCACCCTTAAACTTGATCTTTATCCAGGCAGTTGTTGCCATGAGGGTAACGGGATGGGGACAGATAATTTGGAGCCAGAAAATGTGGGTTGAGATTCATATTGTATACTCACCAGCTGTGTGGCTTGGACAAGTCCTTTATCATATGAGGCTCTTTCTCCTTTCCTAACAAAAGGTTGGACCAGGACTTCCTACATACAAAGGGACCCTTCCAGCCTCAGTGGACCACCCTGGTTCAGGCTGCATGGGCTAAAGAAGGAAAACCATGCTCTACATGGTGCCGGCTCCTAGTTCAGGTCTCACATATGTTGCCTTGCCCATGTGTGGCATGAGCCACAGGGCCACTAAATGCCTACTACCTAATCTAGCTAATCAAGATGAAGATGGTCTTCTGGCCTCTCTCCCTGCTTCTGATCTTTCTGGCCCTGCCCTCCTACCCCCACTAACCACCCCCGTCCATGTGAGACCCCATGGCCTGGGCCTGGAGTGCAGTCCTTCGTGTTCCAGGGTTGGTGGGTCAGCTTCCTGGCTGTGAGGACCTGCTTGATCCTGTGAGATGTTATCATTGGGGGAAGCTGGGTGAAGGGTATACAGGAACTCTGCACTATTTTTACAACTTCTATTGATTAAAGTCATTTCAAGATATAAAAGCTTATTTAAAGACTACCATCCTGTAAGACTCATGTCACTGCTCCACAAAGCAGCTCTCACTTGGTTGTGTGTTCTTGGCCTTGTGTCCATCTGGGCCCCAGAGTCCTTGTGTGCACATTTTTATAGCCCCCAGTTAACATCCTGCATTGGGCTTGGACCACACAGGCACATACCTGACCCTCCAGTCTGCACCTGAGGATCTACTCCCAAAGGTCCCTCCAACAACCCAGGACCAAGGATAGGGTCTGGTAGAGTTGATGCTTAATGAATGCTTTTATTGAGTTTATTGAGTGACTGGAGTTGCTTTGATGAGAGAAGTTGGTAGCTTTCCCCTCAAGGCCTGTGGGAAAATTGAGTCTCAACTGCTTCTAATTTCTGTCTCTTTCTTTCCTTCCCCACCCTCTTTGCTTGTTCCCAGTGTCCTCTCCACCCTCTCACAGCTGATTCAGAGACCTTACACAGCTTCCCTTTCTCTCATCAACAGGAACTTGTCAATCTGCTCCTGACCGGCAGGGCTGTGTCTAATGTTTTCAACGACATTGTAGAGCTGGACTCTGGGGATGGGAACATCACGCTTCTCCGAGGCATTGCTGCACGCAGCGACATTGGCTTCTTATCTCTCTTTGAGCACTACAACGTGTGCCAGGTATCCACATGTTCATGCTCTCCAGCACCCCAGGAGCCCAGCTCCCCAGGACCCACAAGATTAGGGGGGTACAGGGGGCCAGGGAAGGTGAACTCCACTTCCCAGAGCTGGCTGGAGTTCAGATCCAGCTTGAATGCAGAGGGCCTGGGGAGAAATATAGCTTCCCTCCTGATGGGTACAGCCACTTGATTCAGACCCAGATTTGATAGCGGCCTGGGAAGGATTGTCCAAAGGGGATTTCTAGGGGTTTACATTGTGACTGCAGGTCAGAGTGGAGTGTCTGTGTGTGTGTGTGTGTGTGTGTGTGTGTGTGTGTGTGTGTGACTTTCTGTCTGTCTGTCTGTCTGTGGAGGGGTGTCTTCTCCAGGCACAGGAACTTGGAGTCCTGGCATTATACTACTTTCTAATTAGAATGGGCTGCAACAAAATGCCACAGACCAGGTGGCATTCAGTACAACAGAAATGTACTTGGTCAAATTCTGGATGCTGGAAGTCTTGAGTTCAAGTTGCCAGTAGAACCCACAGGGAGAACCCTTCCTATCTTGTGTGTTCCTTGGCTATAGAGGCATCATCTAATTCCTTGCCTCTCTGTCACGTGAATGTTCCCTCCCTGCATGTCTTCCTTTCTTATTAAGGACCTCAGTTGCATTAAGAGCCCACTCTTCTCCAGGATCACTTCATCTGAGCACATCTGCAATGACCCTATCCAAACAAGGTCCCATTCTGAGGGACCTGATGCTTACATATGTTTTGGGGGAACATAATTCAACCCACACAGCTTCACTTGATCTGTTTTCTGGGTTATGGTCCCTCTGCCTCCTCTCTCACTATAACCAGGGTCTTAGAAAGGGCTTAGCCCTTCAGGTGAAGCTGGCAGGGCACAGGTGACCACACCTCTGGGGAGCATGGGCAGGAGCTGAGATGGGCCGCCTGCTACTCCAGCTGCCACATAATATTCTCAGAGCCTTTTCTTGGAGGCCTCAGAGTGTTTTCTGGCTGACTGTATGGAAAGCATTGTTCTGAGGGGTGGCAGAAGCTCTTTGTATGGTGACTGCCCATGCTCAGACTTTTGGAGGTCTTGGACAAGGCTTCCTTCAGTGTGTTTCCCATGGCCAGAACATAGACTCACCTGGTGGAGACCCCAGAGAGCACTAGGTGAATGGCTTTGCAGATTGAGGAGGGACCAGGATTTTCATCCCTTCCTTCCTGCGTGACCATGTGGTCATACATGCTGTCCCTTGTGAATGGGCCACATAGTAGGGCCTCACCCTAAATTTAGTCACAGAACACAGTTCACAGAACACAGACTTAAGGGTTCTGAAGACTCAGGGAGAAAAGAACAAGGGTGGCACCTTCCTGGCTGTGCTGGTGTCAGGAAGGAGCACAGGAATGTGGCCACGTGGCCAGCAAAGAGTGCCAGGACTCTTGAGCATGAGACTCTGGGCAGGATCTGAAAGTCTTCAGCCTGAAATTCCATTGGTGGAGAAAGGTAACCTAGGCAGGGCTCCCCATGCTCATCACGAGCCCTGATTTTGTTCTTGGGTCTAGGGCATTGGTCAAAAAATTATTTTTATTTGGGCAATGGGGGGGAACCAATGTGAAAATCAGTCCAGGTAATCCTTCCTTTGGAATAAAATGACTTGAAGAAATTCAGGCCCATAGTTGTCCTCACAGGTGCCTAGGAATGTTGTCTCCCTGCAGCAGGACACTTTCCTCTTTCCTGTTTACCACTCTAGGAAAGAGCTCTCCTGCCTCCCCTGGAGGCTGAACCTAGGCCTTCCCTTCCCCTAAAGACTCAAGCAGAGCCTGACAGCTCAGCAAAATGTCTCCTTAACACCACCTGTCCTCCCTTCTACCTCTTGAGACCCAGGGCCATATGGGAATAGCCACACTAAACCCAGGAGTCCCAGAGAGTTTCAGCACTGAAGCCCAGACCTGGACTCAGAACCAGGTCCCTGCTCTGGCCTGGTCTATCCTCTTCCACTGGGTAACACAGAAATGACCATGGGGAAGATACAGTGTTTGAGACAGCCTGAATCCTGTTGTCCACAGCAGGGCAATTAGAAGGCTGGAGGGCTCACATACAGCAGAGACCCCAGGCCTGTCTCCAGGCTTCCCACTGCAGCCTCTGGCTAGAAGCTGGGAATATGGGAACCTCATGAGAATGTGGGAATAGAGTGGTGGGAGGGCCTACCTACAGATGAGCTTCTCAGATGACCCATACTTGGGGCATGCCTGGGGGTAGAACAAAGTTCTGGGCTAGAGAAATGTGCCTTGCAGTAAGAAATCTTCCTACCCCAGCCTGGCTGTGGCCCACAGGTCCCCCACAGGCTGTACATTGACTCTACTGGGCTAATGTGAGAATTCCACCTCACTCCCTGTACCCCAAAGGGGTACACCAAAGTTGGCCCAAGGCAAGGCTCTCCTGAGGGCTGGGCAGCATTGCAGGCTGCAGTTGGAAGGTCTAGTCCTCCAGGCCCATGGTGGTGATGGGGACCAACAGACCAGTGTGCTTACTCTTCCCAGTAACCTGTAGGGCATGTCCATTGCTCTCTTCATAAAGGGATCCCAAGGAATACTAGCTTGGTGGGGTTCTGAATGCTCATCTTCTTCCCATTTTCTCCAGCCCAGTGAGCAGCCCCATCTACCTGGTTACACAGACCTGGAGGTGTCCACTCCACCAGGAGGGTATGCAGCTCCCTTCCTGACTTGTTTCTTTCTTTTTTTGTGGTACTGGAGTTTGAACTCAGGCCTACACCTTGAGCTACTCTACCAGTCCTTTTTCATGATGGGTTTTTTTGAGATAGGGTCTTGCAAACTATTTGCCTGGGCTGGTTTTGAACTGTGATCCTCCTGATCTCTGCCTCCTGGGTCGCTAGGATTATAGGCATGAGCCACCAGCACCCAGCCCGACTTGTTCCATAAATCTGTCCATTTTCCTCCTAGTCCAAGCTACTCTGGTTACCTGTGACATCCCAGCTGATTTCAGCTCCTGTCCCCACCCCTTCCCATCCTGTCCCTCCACTGAGACCAGCGTGATCTTTAAAAATGCAGATGTAGTTGTATCATTCCTTTGCTGACAGTGGTTCCCAATCCTCTGAGAATGTTTAACTACACTGCGTCCCTCTAAAATTCCTATGTGAATCCTAACCTCCAGTACCTCCAAGTGCACCTACGTTGAAAATGGGGTATTTAATCACGAAGGTGATTAGGTTAGAATGAGGTCACTAGGATGGCCCTAATCCAAGTGACTGGTGTCATCATAAGAACAGGAGATTAGGCCACAAACACAGAGGGAAGACCTTGTGAAGACACAGGGAGAAGATGGTGTCTGCAAGCCAGGGAGAGAGACCTTAGGAAATAACTTCAACAATATCTTGACCTCAGACTTTTCCAGAAGTGTGAGAAAATAGATTTCTGTTGTATAAGTCACCCAGTTGGTGGTATTTGTTATGGTGGCCCCAGAAAACTGATACAGAGACTAAAATCCCAAACATCCCATGACCTACGAGGCCTGTCCAGACCTGTGCCTGCCTTCTCTCAGCTCACCCCTCCTGCTGTCTCCCTAAGGCACCTCCTGCCTCCTCCAGTTATTTCCCACCTCTAGGTCTTTGCAGATGCTCTATTCCCCATTCCACCCCCATGCCCAGCTTTCCCCACTTTTCAAGTTTTGGCTTAAATATTATTTCAGAAAAGGGAGGCCTTTCCTGCTGTCATCATCCTGCTAACTAACAAGGGGTCTCTTGCCATAGTCCCACCACCCTATCACTCGCCCTCAAAGCACTTTCTTGATTGAAGCATCATGTTTCATCACTGTTGGGATTGAGCATTTCTGATGTGTGGTGCATTATCCCAGTTGACAGTGTTGGGCTTCGTCAGCCTTCTCTTTCTTAGTGATGCAAAAAATGGTCATAAATCTGAGGGCATCATAGATTCAGGGAGGTGCAGCACAAATGTACTTATTTCCCTCAGCACTGTGTCTCTGTTACCTGTTGTGATGCTGGGGACGAAAGTGTTAATTACATTGAAGGAACATCACCCTGACAGATAACAGGCTATACCTCTGCCTGCAGCCAGCCATTGGTCCTGCAAACAAGTGCTTCAAACCTGGTGGTCCACGCCAGCCATTGGTTATCCCCTACCTCTGTACCATTTACAAGCAACCCCTGGCCATGGTGCATGGCACTGCCAGGAGAAGCCTGGCCTGTGCTGGGTGAGGGAATGTGGCCCCTGACCCCCTCGCCCTAGGCCTTTGGTTAAGAATCCAAAGGGAGTGAATTTCATCTCTGGAAAATGTCACCCACTTAGAAGAGGCTCCTGAATGAGAACACTCATTTCTAAACTCTCCAGGCAGCTTTTTTCTCTTAAAATTTGACTATTGTTTGTATGAGGCAAACTGTCCTTTTGTGGGTGCTGTGCACAAGCCTGTCCTCAGTTGGTCTGAACACTTTTCCTGCTAATTTTGACTGAATTTGGATCAAGGCTCCCTGTTGCAGGCAGTGCCTCCCTAGAAAAGCCCCTTCTGAATCTAGAATGGAAGCCAAGTTTGAGTGATGGTTTCAGCACATCCACCCATATGTTTTCAGATATCTAATGCCCCACTCCTCACAAGGAACTGGCCCTGTAGTCACCCTTGAATGTCACACAAGACTGGGCTGAGGGCTCTGGTGGCAAGGGGGAAAGGGGCATATGGACAATAAAACAGTGATGAGTACTGAGTACATGAAGATGGTCCCTCTAGCTTCTGGGGAAGATCATGATAATGGGCAAGTCTGAGCACAGCCCCTCTGTCTCAGGACCTCTACCCCAGAGTCACCTCTGAGGTGGGAGCTGCCCAGCCACTCTTCTGTGGCAGGCCTGCAGAAAGTATGCCCTTCTCCCCACTGGGAAAATAATTCCCATTCTTTCCTTAATCCACAGGCAGTAGCTGTAAATACCTGAGCATGCAAACATCTCCCTGGTGGGGATTAGGCACGAATCAGCCTGGCCCGCTGCACGTACATAGCTGAATAACCAGGCCCCTGGTCGGGAGAGGTGTTGCCCAAGGGACTTGCAGGGGCAGGGAGAGAATGCATAGAGGTGGCCAAGCCTGAGCGGGGGAGGGGTAAGCATTCAGGAGCCCTGGGTCAGTCATCTCCCCTTGCAAGCAGAACAGTTGGCAACACGCTGAGGGCCGTGGTGCCTAGTTTGCCGCAGCTGTCTTCCCCAAACACCCTTCTTCCTGAGACTCCCTGGCTCCAGACACTTCAGACTCCTCCTCAGGAGGAAGTCCTCTGTTTCTGGTTCTGGCACTGCCTCTTGTCTTCCCCACTCCCTTGCTGAGCACAGCCCGCTGTGCCCTGAATTTCTCAGCCAGGCATTCCTACATCACCCCCAGATCACTCACCCAGACCCTTCCCTCCCAGCTCCCATGCTCCCATTCCTACCTACCTTCAAGGCACAGTTATAGGTCAAGCCCCACTTCATTCCTGAGGACTGTTTGTCACTGTTTACTTAAACCATGGGCTCTTGGTGCTGGGGTCATTGTCTGGGGTCACAAGGCAGGTGATGCACTTTGATGTGGGATCAAGGGGCAGTTGCCAAGAGATATGAGCCCCAGGTAGCTGAAAGGAGGAAGCCATCCCTGCCCCCTGAATGGGTGATGTGGGTGATGCAGCTCTCCAAGGGGAGGGACAGGTAATGCAAAGACTGAGGGCTCAGTGAGCCAATTAGTGTGAGTTGCTGGCCAGAGTGAATTAGCTTATTGCCACAGTCCAGGTGAGAGGCATGAGCATACCTGATATGAGAGGAAGAGTGAGGGCATCCCCAGGAACATGGGGGGAGCATGGGCATGGGGGAAGGGAAGGGGTGATGCCTGTGATCTGGGAGCACCACACAACAGAGCCTCTTGGGAGTTCAGCTCTGCCTTGGGTTGGACAGCAGATGCCCCAACTCCTTTCCCTAGGAATGACATGTTGTATTGGGTCTCTCCCTGCTCTAGGTCGGCTGCTTCCTGAAGACCCCAAGGTTCCCCATCTGGGTGGTGTGCAGCGAGAGCCACTTCAGCATCCTCTTCAGCCTACAGCCAGAGCTCCTGTCTGACTGGAGAGCTGAGCGGCTCTTTGACCTGTATTACTATGATGGCCTGGCCAACCAGCAGGAGCAGATCCGGCTAACTGTTGGTGCGACAGCCCCAGTCAGTCTCCTCAGGGAGCCTCCAGGCTGCTCACAGAAACTAGCCTTAACACTCCCTCTCAGGATGGTCAGAGTGCAATGTAGACTTGAGTGTTAGGATTGGGCAATCAGAGTAGATGTTAGCAAGGGCCCTGGCGGGAGGGGTCCAAGGATGGACCTTGAGCACTTGATGGCAGTAAGGGTATAAGGTGAAATTAAGACCATATGACAAGATTCCTGAATACTTTGCTGATAAGTTTGAATTTATTCTTCAGGCAGTAGGGGGCCCTGGGATGATGTGTGCCTCTCTCCCTCCTCCCCAGATACCACCCAGACCATCCCTGAGGACAACCATAATGACCTTGTACCTCCCCTGGATCTCTGCATCAGAACCAAGTGAGTAAGGCCCATCTTGGGCTCTCCCACCTTGCCCTTAATGTGTGGGAGTGTGGTGGTAGGGGTGCTAGACCTGAAGGAAGGACAGGCTCCTGGTGCCCAACCTAGGGGGTAGCATCTGGGTAAGACCCTTTGTGGGGTCCTTGTATAGCATAAGCAGATTTCTCCACTTGTTCCCAAGGCCCAAGTGGAGGCATGTGTGGCCTGCAGCTTCTGAAGATGTCCCCAGGTACACTGCAGGAACAACTTCAGGTGTGCTGAGCACTGTCCGGCTCAAAGGAGGAGGGACAGCCATGTTAACTTGGCAGGTTCTGGCGGCCAGAGCAGGACTGGAAGGTGGGAGGGGCTAGCCAGCCTTGGTATGGCAAGAGGTGGCTGCCTATAGAAGCAGCATCATGGCCCTAGCCACCCAGAACACAGAGCAGAGGAGTTTCAGAGGCCATGGGGATTCTTGTCTCCCTACCCAGTCCTTTTGCATTTAAGAGGAGGGGACACCAGGTTGTGAGGGGGAGCTCTCTGTCCCCGAGGGAGTCAGCTCACTTCCCTCCTGAGTTCTTGGTAAGCCCCAGAGCTGGGACCATGCAGTGGAGGCGGCGGGGGGCATGCAGTGTATTGTCACTGTCAGGAACCTCAGTGTGCTCTGGCAGGCCCTTCTCAGAGCTTGGAGGTCATGACCAGGAGGCCTCAGCATATAGGGGGGGAAAAGCCAAAGAGGGAGACCTGGATTCTAGTTCCTTCTTCCAGGGAAACAATAGAAGTTGTAGCAGTTAAGAGCACAGATTCTGGAGCCAGGATGCCTGGATCTAAGTCCTGGCTCTGCCACTTTTGGCTCTGAGCCATTGGACTTCACCTTTCTGTACCTCACTTTGTCATCAGTAAAATGGAGATGATGGCAGGTCTTTACCTATGCAGATCTTGGGACAAGTGCTGGGATATTTACTAAGTGCTCTGTAAGGTTAACTCTCCTTATTAATCTTAGTCACTCACGTTCCATATGGCCTTAGGCAGAATCTTCATTTCCTTGTCTGTGAAATAGGTGGGGCTGGGGTGAACAGTTGTGGGTGACAGCCCAGGCCCTGACCTTCTGACTGCTTGAGATTCAGGTGGCACATCTTGGCACCTAGGGTCACTGCCCACCTACAAGCAAAAGAGCCCTTGGATAGGGCTGAGGAAGAGGTGAGGAGAATGCTATGTGCACCATGGAAATGGCAGGAAGGGGAAGTGGAGTGAATGCTGGGACATCCTCAGTATGCCCATCCATCTGACCCCTGTCTTCCCCCAGAGAAGGAGCACAGCATTCCTGCAGGGCCATGTGCTGGGCTCCTTTCATCAGAGGATTAAGAGCACATGCAGGTCGCTGTCCTTTCATGTACAAAGAGCCACTCATTCCAGGTGATGAGCGAAGGGCTGCTGTGGGGAAAGGAGGTGACCCTAGCCTTGGCACCTTATGCAGGACAGCATGAGAGGAAGGCATCCTTCAGGGGAAGGGCTCCAGCTGCACCTTGGGTGGAGCCTCTGCCACCTCCAGACTCCTGTGGCCCTTGCTGAGGCTTCCATATGACTCTCTGTAGCCCTCCCAGAGGACAGACCCCCAGTTCTTCCCCGGCCCTTTCTGGGTAAGGAACTCCTCTTTCGACAAAACACCATTCCACTGAAAGACTAACCAGATTGAATGAATAGAACCAAATTGAATGAATAGGCCCAAATTGAACTTCCTGGGCTCAACCCTAATTGGCAGTTGTTTGAAAATGGCTCAGGGTTCTGGCCTGTCCCTGGGGCAGCCCCTGAGCAGAACTGGCATAACACAGACCTTACAGCAGACTCATATTGCAGAGACCTGGGCCTCTTCTCCTCTGCCTCTGTCTCCCAGGACTTACTTTGACACCCTCACCATGCCTCACTGAGGGAAGCTGACAGGCTGCTTGTGGAAGGAGGACCTGGGCCTGGGATAGAGGGTCTCTTCTGGGCCCTGCCTTTTCCTGCCCTTACCTCTACTAACTGTCCTGGTCTGGGACAAGGCCAAGCCTGGCCTCCCATTGCTTGTCACAGAGGGAAAGTAGCTCTGTTCATGCAGCACACAGACCTGGAAACTCTAGTTGTCCCACCCTATCCAGTTCCCTGATGGTTGGGGACCATCTCCATTCATGGATCACCTTCTGAGAGGTCTTGTCACAGAGCCAGGATCCTTGGGCTTCAGGGCATGAGCATCCTCTGGAGAATGCATTGTGTTAGAACATGGACCTCTGGACCTCCAGGGCTTCTGATGCAGCAGGTCCAGGGTGGGCTGAGAAGGTGCATTTCCAAGAGCTTCCCAGGAGCTGCTCATTCTGCAGCTCTAGGACCACACTTTGAGAGGTGCTGTTCTAGTGACTGATGAAGCCCACTTCCCTTCCCCCCATCTGCCTTGTGAGACTCTGCTACCCAGTGAGACACTGACCCTCCGGTGTACAGCCTGCATGACACCTTGGGCCAGGGGCACCTTCTGCTTGTTCTCCTTCCCAATCACACCCTGCCACAGTAGGTCCACCTGGCCAGTTAACATGGGGAGACTTTTTCAGTGCCATTCCCAGAGAAGCTGAGCGGGTGAGCGAGAGTGGGATCACTGGGTATGGACCCATCAGATAACATACCGCCCTAATGGGGACCAGCAGGCCGGCCTCCCAGAACCCTATTCCAAGGGATTGAATTACAAAGGCTTTGTGTTTTGCTTTCATCCCAGACTCTCAAACAGCTCAAAGGAGAACTTGGGAAAGTGGCTTCCAAGGTCATCATGAGGACCTGCTAGAATGGGTCTTGTCTCTGGGGGTTGGGGGGTTGTGGTAAGTCCTGCTGCTAGTAGACAGACCTGCCTATGGGGAAGGGGAAGCACATACCATGGTTTATCTTCAGGACATTTCCAGTCAGATTCCAGGAGCCTTGTGAGATAAGCTGGGTGCTTATAGCTATTCTGTACATCTGTGGTACTGGGTAGGTTGGGGGACTGGGTAGACTACCTGGTGGGCAGGTGGGGTTTCTCTCTTATCATACCAACTCTCACAGAGATTTTAGGCTGGAGTTCATGAAAGAACCATCTGGATTAGAATTGGGTCCTATTCCCAGAGAGTTCACAATCAAATGAAAGTTAGGTTCAGAAAAAATCTTGTTCTAATCCAGGGTATGGTGTACTTCCTGCCCTTAAGCCCAGCTCTGCTTAAGGGCAGAGCTGACTTACACCAGGAAGCCTGACTTACACCTCTCCCAGTGCAGGACACACCACACACTTGCTCATCTGGCATCTTGCTTGGGTCCACAGAAAGATCCTGGGCCACCCCCCAATCTATCCCCTTCTTTCACAGATGGACAGATAGTGGTCTCCAGAATGGTGTGCTCCAGCCGCACCTCCAGTTACAAGCAGCTTAGGCCTTCATTTTTCCAGCCCAGTGGAAGGTCACCAAGTGGGCAGTGTGACTTCCTGCCACCTGGCTTTGTTGCCACAGAGACATTGCACAAGCCAACTGGGTTTTGCCTCAGAAGAGCATCCTAATTGGAACCATCCCTGGGTCCCTGCCTTTGTTGCTCTCTGATGTGGTGCACGTCTCAGCCTTAGAGTCTCCTGTTACTTTTGCTGGGTCAGGAATGTGGGGTCTCTTTCCCCACCTCGCCCGCCCCCACTGTTCTGTAACCATGTCAGCAAAAACAGACTCTTTTAGGGTCATTTCCAAACAAGGGACACACCGTGACCTCTCTCATGCTTCTACTCTTGTTGGAGTGAGAGAAAATGCAACAATTGTCAACAGTCCAGAGAGAAGAGGAAAGAACTCATAACCGGGCCTGGGGCTAGGGCCAGATGTTTCTGTTTGGAGGCTCAGACGAGATTGAAAATGTCATTCCAGTTGGGATCAGTGCCTTTGAGGACCTGGGGCAGAGACCCGTCTTTCCTCAGTGGCAGCCCTCTTCCCCTTGCTCCCTTGCATTTGCAGGGGCACTCCCTGACTGTCCACTGCCTCTTGTCCACACTAAGCATGCTCTTCTGATGCACTGCTGCCCACACACCATACACTCCTTCACTACTCTGGCCTGTCATATTGCGTGGTGTCACTTCTGACGCAGTTTCCCCACCTGTTAATCAGGTGTCACGATTCTTCCCTGGCCTGTGGTGATAGACGGATGCAATATCCTCTCCTTGGAGACCACAGAAGAATCAGGTGGTGACACCTAGGGCAAAGGCCAGGAGGAAGCAGAAAGTTGGGGACAAGAGACAGCAGCAGTGGCCATGGCAGGACTTTGTGAACACTGGAGTCAAAGGAAAGGAGAGTGAAGTCTGAACAAAGGCCCAGGTTTTCCTAATGGGAACCTGAGGGGGCATGCTGGCCCCAGAGCAAGTGTTTCTGGGGAGAAGCTGCTGTGAAGAGGCATCCATATGCCACTGAAGCCCTGGCCTGGGTGCTGAGGGCTCCCCAGGCAGCCTAGCGGCCAGAGATCACTTCTGCAGGGGAATCCTGGGATCTGATCCTAAAAGAGGATAGGCCAATGCCGTGGATAGAGGTAACCCATGTGGCTCCTTCTAGAGCCACCCCCGGCTCCAAGTGACTGTTGCATAGGGACAGAAACTTGCACAGAGACAGGCTTATCTGTCTAGGGATTCAAAATGAACAAGAGGAATCCCTGGATACCTCTTCCAGTCAGGAGCTTTGAAACAAGGCCTGCCCTCTCCTGCTGCTGTGAGCTCTGTCAGTATCTTCCCTATGCTCGCCCTATGAAATTCACCAGATCCATCAACATTCTGAATCTCTTGCAGCCAGGAGCCAGCTAAAGTTGCAGTGTGGGGAAGGACCGCATTTGCAGCCCTTTGTTGGAGTAGAATTTGAGCTCCAAGGGCCACGGTATTTCCACCAGGTTTAACCTCCAAAACAGTGGTCTTCAGTGGGTGATTTTGTTTCTGTGAGGTTATTTGACAATCTTGTTACATTTTCAGTTCTCACAATAGGGACAGAGTGCCAAACATCTTATGGTGTATAGGACAGCCTCCATAACAAAGAATTATCCAGCCCCAGATGCCAAAGGTACCAAAATTGAGAGCCCCTGCACTAAACTGTCACCTGTCAGTTACCTCTTGAGTTAAAGTTAATGATGAGCCTGGGCATCAGCTCCCAACTTGAATTATGATGCCTTTACATTTCATCCCCCCCCTTTCTCTGATGGCCCTAACTGCTGCTGGTAGCATATGTAGAGCTCTTCTTATTCATACTTGTTATTGACTTAGACATTCAGATCAGTATCTGTCATATTTCAGCCCTTTCAATTTGTGAAATGTCTCTTGATTTTCCACCATCATCAGAAAATGCTCCATGTTGCATCTTCCTGCCTTTGCACTGCTTCCCAGGACAGGAGGGTTAGTTACCTCTGTAAGTGGCCTCAATAACAATCACAAACTCAACAGCCGGACAGTAAGACTTTGTGGCTAGGGTGTGACACACATGTCTAGCTGCAAATGAGTACAACTCACCCCTACACCATGGCCAAACCCCATTTTGCCAAAATCCTAGAGGTTTGTCTATTGGGAGCCCATGGGATTTCTCTGATAGACAAATCCAAGGGAGGGAAAAGGCTGGGAGGGATGGAGAAGGACAGCAGAGAGGGCCTTGGGGACTAGGCTGAGAACAGGAATGTCACTTTCCTTTGTGTCCCCCTTTTATCACTAAGGATGTATTCTTGGTGCTCAGGGCTTCAGTGTTTCCCTACAAATCTTAATAGAACAATAAAAGCTTTTTAATGATAATGCTTCCAAATTGCAAAGATAATGAGCAGAAAGAAAGTTGAAAATCTCAAAAGCTTGGCAGAATTCATTATAGCCAGCTTTAGGTTGCTACAGAAGGCTAAAGTACCCAGGAGCTGCAATAGATCAGCCTCACCCTTGGGAACCATGTATTGGCATGATCCCTTCCCAAGTGGTGTTACCTCCTGTACCTGCTTAGTTGTGCAAGTCAGAACAGTGGCCATTTTCTGTGCTCATGGGGGAGCCATATTTAGTTCCCTTAGAACATCATCAGACTCCAGGCCCAAATCGTAACAACAGTGAGCACAAGCCTCATCAGGTGGTCTCCAAGTACAGTCCTGGTGTCATTTAGGCAGTGAAGATGAGTGCTATGAGATGGATACGTTCCATCAAAGTGGCCCGCCCAACACAAAGCCATCTAATAGAATCCTCTCAATCTGCCTGACACTTAGAAACTTAGGAAATATTCTAGACCACCTGGAGATCAATCAAAATTCCTCCACGCCCAGTAGAATGAATGAGACTGACCTTTCTGATTCATGTCATGACTGATGATGAAGGGGAGGTAGGATCTGTATTGAGCACAAGTTACCGTGCATCTCTTGTCACAGGTCAGACCAGGAATGGATCTTACAAAGGTGGTTCCTCCAATATTTATCTTGAAAGAAGATCTCCTTTTTTAAATGTATGCAGGTAGTTTTCCATGTCCAGATCTATTTCTGAGCCCTTGTGTCTAGAATAATCACAGGAACCAAATGCCTGTCCTGCAGGAAGGAAAAGATCAATTGCCAAAAAGCTATCTGACCCCATTTAGGGTACAGTATCACGGGACAGCACTGTATGACACTGAGACAGTTTTGGGAACAGTTCCCCAAACATGACATTCATGGCTGACAGGTTTTCCACCATCCACCTGTAACAGCCTTTGCACAGAGTATTTTTAGGAAGAAGATACAAGTCAGTGTTCTTGTAGAACAATCCAGACCTCTTGGGATGTTGACTGTGGTGAACAACATAGGACACGGCTGTGCCTTGTGTCTAGACTGTGATGACCGCTACATTCTCACATTCTCAGTGGTTACAGAAGCTGTGACTTGTCCTTGTGGTGTGCTGGGTGGAGCTAGGAGAAGAACATGGTATTAATTATTTCCAAATGAGCTCAATGCAAGTATCTTGTACTCCAAGGCTTTCTACAGGAGTAAGAAACAGAATTCTACCAGGAATTTTTTTTCTCTAAATGAGAAGAAATCTGTTTGCTCCTTTGAAGGGAAATGGAATGGTGCAACAGAAGGAAAATACAGTTTTTATAGCTACCAAGAAGCTTCCTATAGGCAGCAGGAAAGTGAATTGGAAGATCAAAGTGAGAATGAACCCTGTTGCCTCTGAAGGGTGCCACTCCAAGCCTAAAAATCAGAGACATGAGTTCGCCATTGAAGCAGTGCACAGAGATGAAGAAAGACAAAAAGCAGGTGCATGAGAGAGGAAGAAGGGACTTTAATGGAAGACTAAGTGATGGGATGAAAGTGGAAAGTTTGAGGTCTGTGATGAATCATCCCAGTTGTCCCCTGATATGATCTTTGGTGGTACTGGAGTTTGAACTCAGGGCCTGGTGCTTGCTAGACAGGTTCTCTACCCTTGTTCCTCAGTATGTATAGGGACTTGGTCCTAGAAGCCCTTCAGAAACCCCAAATCTGAGAATTCTCATGTGCCTTCTATAAAATTGTGTACTATTTGCATCTTGCCTACACACATCTTGTATTCTTTAAATCATCTCTAGACTATTTATATTACCTAATATAAATGCTCTTTGTAAATACCTGTTATACTGTTTACAGACTAATGATGAAGAGAAATAGTCTGTACATGCTCATTATGGATGCAATTTTTTTTGTATTCGTGAGCCCCTTTTGGTTGAGTGTGTGAATGCAGAACCTGTAGATATGGAGGACCAACTACCCATGCTTCTTGGTGCTCCCTGGCACTCTGTAGGGAAATACATCAGTGTTACTTTGGGAGAGTTTTTGCTCCCCATTTGCACCTCCAGTCTCAAATATGCTAGACTTCCCCAGATAGATGTAGAATTAAGGTAAGAGTAGCTTCCTATGTTTCTTCCTTTTGTGGCAGCTGGGATTTTGATTTTACTTGCAAAAAAGGGAGATACCATCTCCCTTTCCAAGCCCAGCACTTTGGAAAACAGTTTTGTAAAGTCCCAGTCTCCAATTTTGCATGATAGCTTGCTGTTGAGATATGCAGTATCTGTGTCATATGGTCTTAGGATCTAGGTAATTGTAGAATATATCTACTGCCAGATTTTGCATAAATTCTTCATCTGCTGTAAATGTAATTCTTTTGAGTTGTTTTGGAAAATCAGTGCCATGTATTAAAATCAAGTGTTAAGAAATTTCATGGTCTTACCTACAATGGCTTTTATGTTGGACCTGAACTGTGTTTGTGTATCTCACCCTGAACTGCCATTTAAATCAAAAAGAAAATTCCCCCCAAAACCTATCATATTCCTGTGGTGCTCATAGCCCTTCACTAGCTTCCTGTTGCCCTTAGAGAGAACTCCAGAATCCTTTCAAGGCCCTTCCAGCTCCTTGGCCCCCTCTCACACCTCATTCACATCTTTCTGAACTCCAGCCACTGGACCTCCTCCTGTATTTTGAACACCCAAGGATATTTTACCTAGTCTTGTACATGTGCCTCTAAAGGGCCACCATCAGGCATCTCTAGAAAGCAGCTGGGTCCAGATGTACATGGATCATTCACATCAGCAGAGGGCCCAGAGTGCCAGGCACAGAGTCACTGGGGCATGAATGAGCAAATCACCTGTGCCTGTCTTCTCCACTGTTCTCCAGGGCCCTGGGCATATTTGTGCTTAATAAGGTGTTTGGGTTGGGTGTGGGTGGGAAGGGCAAGATGGGCAGGGTGGAGTTTCCAAAGCTTTTGAGACGAAGCTTCTGGTAAGTAACGGCAAGCAAGGGCCCATGCAGCCCTAACTCTTTTCTCTATCACTCTGCTCTTAGGTGGAAGGGAGCTTCTGTGAACTGGAATGGCTCAGACCCCATCCTGTGACCCTTTGATTCAGCTAAGCTCTGGCTCCACTGCTCATCACTGGGGTGACCCCTGAACCCCAGGCCTCCGGGACAAGACTCTGAGAAGAGTCACCCCTACCTGGGTCAATATGGCCACAGAAGCATACAGAGCCTCCCTGCCCCTTCTGTGAAGGGCCTACCCAGGACCGTGGGTGCCCAATGTGCTGCTGAGGTTCCCACCTAGCTGAGCTGTGACTGCCAAAGACAGGAAGAAGGCCACGAGGGACTCAGCTGCCTTCTGTCTGCATCCCTCCCTTGCTCCCCCTGGGTCGTCCACTCACCAAGACCTCCGATGTGGTTGGCTTTGGGGACCCAGGCACTTGTTATTCGTCTTTCTATAAAGCAAGAGTCAAACCCATGCCAAGGGTTGAGATTCCTTTCTTCTACCATTGCAAAAGGAGCACCAGGTCTGCTCTGAGCATGCTGGGATGTGATGGAGATGGTGGAAAGCCCCCAGAACCCCAGGATAACAGTGGGTGAGGATACCTCCTAGGAAGGGCCCCTGGGATAACCAAGGCTCTCTGCCCCAAGCTGTCTCTGGCTGGGATCCCTGGTCTCTTCTTTATCCCACTTGACCAGCACGTGTCTTAAGCTACCAGGTTACATGAGCAGTGCTCAAGACCCCAGGGAACCTGTCTTGGTAGAGCTGGATCGCTTGTGAGGCCCCATAAGGATGGGGTGGGGCTGGAGGGAGGCTTGGCCCTGCTGTGTGGATGTGGGGAAGAGCTATCCAGGAGGAGGTCTGTTAGCCAGGGAGGCTGATAGGATGAGGACACAGGAGGTACAAGGGGAAAGGATTACTGCAGATGTGGGTGGGCAGAGTAAGAAAGAGAGACTGGCATGGGAAGAAGGCCACAATTGCTGGTGAAGGGAAAATAGGGGCACTGCCTGAGCCTCACTTACTGCACTCATTTGTGTCCTCTGAGTTTTCAAGCAAGAATATGGAAGGAAAAAAAGGAATGGCAGTGTGCGGATGGGGGCAGGTGCTGGGAAGGGGCACAAGGGAGAGAGAGTGCGTTGTGTCAAAACCAGAGTCCCACAAGACTGGGATGGAGCAGAGGGATCCAGAGGAGGAGCACAGTCCCTGGAATCAACTCACATGGCTGTCTGTGTGAGGAGCTAGGAATGAGATAATGGCAAAGCCCACAGGAACTGCCACCCCTGTGGCTGACCTTATCTGTACCCAGTGAGTGCCTTGACTATGACTTGGGGGCCATGCAGAAGTGGAAAATCACATGTGGGAACCAAGAGGTGCATTCCTACTGTGTCCTCCACCTTGGCCAGAGAGAGGCCTAGGAAAGTCACAAATATTGGAGAGCAACTCCCTATGCCCTAATGTGACTGAGAACACAAGCCACATTAGGGTTGTGTCCCTTCTCAGTGCTGGCTAAAAGAGGCCCCTTGCTTTTGGGAGCCAGGCACAGAGGGGAACTGGATTCGATGGTGATTGTCTTGTGTGCCTGTGTATAGGGCACGTGCAGTGACCTGACTGCCATTCCTTGAGGAGGAGCTGGAAATGCCTGGGAGAAATGGGGATGGGAAGTGTGTGGGGCAGGGGGGCCGGGGGTGTGTGTGTGTGTGTGTGGCGGGGCAGGGGGGCCGGGTGTGTGTGTGTGTGTGGCGGGGCAGGGGGGCCAGGGGAGTACTACTCTGCCTTGCTGTACTGAGACCCAGGTGGATTGTGCTATGTAAACTTCAGCGGCAATTCACCGCAGGGTTCCAGCCTAACCGCTTCCTATATCTCCCCTGAAATGTTTATGCATTTGTTTTCTTTGGCCAGGGATGGGCCACTCCAGCTGAGGGCCTGGGCGAGAAAGTCAGCTTCCCTGCAGTGGCCTTGTTTATCAACTTGGGGAGGAAGAGTGTCTTTTCAATGAAACTTACTTGGCCTCCTGGCCAGTGGCTCTTTGGCATGGCTAGAGAAAACAAACTATTCCCAGCATTGCTCCAAAAAGCTATTTCCAACAAAGCACAGAGCACTGGTTCTTCTAGAAACCCAGAGGCAGGTTTGCAGGGTGTGATGTGGTATGGATGGCTGGTGAGCACTGCTGAGAGCTCACTGCCTGCTCTGAGGACATGATGGTACATGAACCTTCTGTATGGCCTGCTGTAGGAAGGAAATGCAGGCCTCACTTCCTCATGTGGAGCATTCTCTTATCTGGATGCATTGTTTTCTAGGAGCACTGTGGATAGATTTTGGAGGGTCTATCAAATTGTATTAAAGTCTTTTGTGTTCGTGTACATATGTGTTAATGGTCCATGGCTCCATTGTGGCCTTGAACTTGGAATAACCCCCTGCAGCTTCCCTCCGGAAAAGTTAAGAACCACATCCTAACATTGATTGACTTCCCAAGCGCCAGGCCTGGGCTCAGCTCCTACAAGTTTATTGAGGAAACAGACCTCTGTGGCATATGACCAGAGGGCAGCTGTATTGTGCCTCATTGCTTCCCATTCCCTCTCTCTTCACACTTCCTTGGTCTCTGAATGGACGAGTAGGCCAAGACATTGTTTCTCTTCTGGTGTTATGAGCAATCAGAGAGCAGCCTAATGGTTCCTGGACTCCAAGCATCTCCTCTTGTGGTGTTCATTTGGGAAAGGATTTATGGTCAGTTTGTGTTCCCCTTCCTGTCTTGCCCCAGATGACCCTCTACCCCCAGCTGTCTTTGACTCCTCGGAAGGAGGGTGGGACAGAAAAGTCTTATGTGTGATGTAACTGTGCTGAGGGCAGTGCTGTGCCTGAGATAATGGCAAAGCCCACAGGAACTGCCACCCCTGTGGCTGACCTTGTCTGTACCCAGTGAGTGCCTTGACTATGACTTGGGGGCCATGCAGAAGTGGAAAATCACATGTGGGAACCAAGAGGTGCATTCCTACTGTGTCCTCCACCTTGGCCAGAGAGAGGCCTAGGAAAGTCACAAATATTGGAGAGCAAACCAGTCCCAGCCTCCCTATGCCCTAATGTGACTAAGAACACAAGCCACATTAGGGCTGTGTCCCTTCTCAGTGCTGGCTAAAAGAGGCCCCTTACTTTTGGGAGCCGGGCACAGAGGGGGCATAACTGGATTCGATGGTGACAACCACAGAAATTGTCTTGTGTGCCTGTGTACAGGGCACGTGTAGTGACCTGACTGTGTGTGGGGCGGGGAGGGGGGAGTACTACTCTGCCTTGCTGAAAGTGCTGGTTCCTTCTCTCCTAAGGGGATCTCTCATGCCAGGGATCTCTCTTGAGTCAGGGTATCATCTGCCACCTGCTGCTGTGGCAGCTCTCATCTCCTTTGCTGCAGTCCCGTTGTGGAACATCAGAGACTTCCTTCTACAGGATCCACATTCAAACTACTGAGTGCACCAGTATATCTTTGCTCCCTGCTTAGCCCTGGTTTCTCACCTTGCTCTTCCCCAGGTGAGTCCACTTCCATTCCTGCGATCACAACCCACACTCCAGGGACACATGGCAAGCTTTCGAGCAGTTTTCTCCAAGTCTCCCTAAATTGGCTTTAGGAGCAGTGATGCATCTCCTCCTATTCCCATAGCTGAAACTTCTATCCAAAGACATATCTTTGCTAGCCACAGCCCTCTTCACATGTCAGTTCTGGTCTGGCCCAACATTGTCTCCACCTTCACTCATGGCCAGGAGAGCAGTGACAGGCCAGAGTGGCAGACCACCTGTACTGCTATGCAAATTCCACATGGAGGCAGGTAACAGAAGTCGTTTCCAGAAGGACTGCCAGGGTTCCCGAGGGGTCAGAGTTTGGCCAGAGATTAGAGGTCCTGAGACAAGGTTACATTCATACTCTACCTGACTGCTCCACAAGGTCTCCATGCCTGGGCCCAAGCGGAAGACAGGGATGGAGGCAGAACCCAGCCCATCCAAAACACCATGCTGGGAGACTGGCAGCAGGGTCCTGAGCCTCCTGTGAGGGCTACTAGTAAATGACCTGAGCCATCACATGCCCTGGGCTCTGCTAAGCAGTGATGGCAACAGAGGATTTTTCTACCCTGCTCTGGATCCTGGCTTCACTACTCAAAGGTCAGGTTCTTAGACTAGCAACATCTGTAGAAAGGCAGAACCTCAGGCTCTGCCCCAGGCCCACCAAATCAGATTCTGTGTTTTCACCAAATCAGTTGAATCAGAGTTCCAGTTTGAAAAGCTGTGCTCTAGAGAGCTTGTGATTTCCATGAATTACAGAGGGACATGCATGGTGGAAGCATTTGAGGAATAAACTTCATCAGATCTGATGGCCCAAGGTCAGCCTGACCCACTGCTTCCTAGATGTGTGGCCTGGAGGACTTGACCGAAGCTCTCTGGGCCTCAGTTGCCTCATCTGTAAAATTGCAACCTCACAGTGTTGTGAAGGTGCAGTGCTTAGAAGAGGGCCTAGCACATTACAAGAATTCAATAAATGTTTGCTGTCAGCCTTTCCAAAATGGGTAGACGAAGCTCTTTGGAGGAGGCAACATCTAGTCTGGGCTTTGACGAACAAGGGGAGAATTAAATGGGTGATCATTCCAGCCAAAAGGAACAGTGAGAGCAGACAGGTCATAATGTTCATGATGTCTGTCTTATTTTGGATGACCAGAAAGTGGAGCCCTGAATGGCCTGGAGCAGAGTGGGAGGCAGAACAAAGAACCTAGATGGTGGGTAAGGAGAAGAGATCTCCTTGCGAGAAGAGCTCTGTTCAGATCTCCCTCCCTACAGGGGAGGGGTTTGTAGGGCAGAGGCAGTGAGTGAGTGGAGGGGCTACCATGTACTACTACAGAAGGCTGTGCAGGGGGCAGGTGAGCATGGGATGTAAGGGAAAGTTGGCTGATAGCTTTTGTTCCCGCAGGCCCTGTGGATGGTCCTTACATGGCTACCAAGCCCTCCAGGGATCCTGAAAATTGCAGGAGGCGATCAGGCTGCTAACTCTCTTCACAGGTATTTCTCTCCACCTACCAGAATACTCCCTACTCCCTACTCATGCCCCAGTCCTCATGGGGATGTGGGAGGTGTAATTACCAGACAAAAATGCCAGGCATTTGTGATAATAGAGATTGCTTAATGCAAACTCCAGGATTGGGGGTGGGCTGACAGGTTGCTCATGGTCAAGCAGAATGCTGCCAGGGCCTGTGTGCAGGGTAGGGATGTGTGCTCCTAGCAGCCCCATGAGGCACAGAGAAGGATCAGAACCCCACGGGGCAGGTCAGGGGCTCAGTGGTCACTGAAGCTTGCAGTGGCTTTTCTTTTACCTGTCTCCTGGCCCACATTCCCACAAAAACCCACTTTGTTCCTCCAACGACATCACTGAAAGCCTTCTCTGGCTCTACAGATAGGAAAACTGAGGTCCGAGCAGGAATTCTTACTTTCGAG